ATGACGAAAACGTTATACCCATAACTGCTATCAATATGCTTTCAATCAAACTTTGTTGACGATGTAAGGCATTGTTTCAATCCCCAAACACTGGAGAAATAAGGAAGTTAATCCCTTGTCAACCCCTTCGAGCCTAGAAGTTGGAGTTTCTTTCTTTACAAAAAAAACCTGCAATCTTAACATGGGGCATGGGTAGTTCTCAGTTAACTTGGTTGGGTGTTTCTTGCATTACACCTTTCATATAAAGGTCACATTCGCAATTTTCCTTCGCACACAGCAAGTAAGTGTCGAAGATGTTTTCCCAAATCAAAAGCTGATGATGGTTCACCGTGATCATTAAAGCTAGGCAGTCACTTTCTTTCAAAAAAAATATATCAAAAGAAAAAGTCCGCTAAGTCAAAACCTATGAAGGAGACTTAGGCAAGAAATTGGGGCATCCCGCTGACTGTAAACTTTAAAAGAAACAGTTTAGGCAAAATTTAGGGATAATAAAAAGAGGAGATTTTTAAATCCTTCTCCTGAAAATCCTCAATGTCAAATAACCAAATGTTATAGGGAAGTAGTGGATGCCTTTTCATAGTTCCTTGACTTCTGAACCATCATTGCTACCATCAGTGCGATTCCTAACCTATAGGAACCTGAATGCATAATATGAGTTAACTGAACGTAGGACTGAAGATTATCACGTAGATTGGGTGGATACAAATAAATTTTGAGCCTTTATCCTTTGTTTCATAAACCGTGAACCAGGCAACGTTACAACCCTCAAAAGACCTAATTGAAGCAAGGTTATTTTGAAAGCATACTATAGCAAGGTTACGTAACCTGACTCCAAAAAATCTTTGCGAATCATTTATTTTAGCAATACACTTTTATTTTAAACTTTGAGCGTCTTGAACTGCCGTATTCTGACCAATGACTCATTTATTTTCCATCTTTCAAAAAATAATTTTGATTCAAATGTTGCGTGAACTTTGCATTACCGTGTTGGTATGAATATTTTTGTTTGCAAACTGGCTTTCCTCTAAGGAATTTTTAAACAAACGAGAAACTTGGTCGGTGATCCTCTCAGGGGCAAGTTCATCTTATGATATCCTATTTCCACCGCAACACACCACATCATCAATACAAGTAAAATACAAGAGTTTTCATGCCTATTTATCAAAGCAAAGAGTTGAAGTTCAGAGCCATGGTCATAACACCCTGTTTCAATCCAAATTGGGCATGTTTTGGTTGTGTTAATCGATTAACCATTTGCAAGGAAAAATGTGTAAATCGATTAACACGTGTAGTTTGGCAGATTTTCTGCAATTTTTCATGACAAAAACTTTTCCTCTACTCTTTTGGTCTATTTGGTTCTAGTATCATGTGGAATATTCTAGGCACTTCAAGAAACCACTTGTATTTGCTACAATACATCATTTTCAATCAAGACCGCTATGCACCTTTGTCTCCAAACATGTGAACCATTGGATTTTGAGCTTGCATTGTGATGTTCCACCGAGTTAACAAATAACTAACTGAGTCAACTTCCAACTCAGTGAGTTAGATGTAACTAACTTCAAACCAAATGCCAAACCACCCTTAGCTAGCTGCAAACCTTGATCCAAACCTATCTCACTCCAAACCTCCACTCTATATATTGAAATTTTCACTTTGTTGCGAATGACCTTGATCATTTTTCACTCTTCACACTTAATCACATCACTCTCATTTCTCTTTGAAATTTATTCAACTTCTTCTCACATTCATCTTCATCTTCTTCATAAAACCTTACTATAGCTTTTTTTCTCCATTAAAGCTTAACAAGCTTCACATTGAACTTGCTAAACTTTTGAGTTTAACCTCTATTATATTACATTTCATCTTAAATTCTGCACATTACAGTAGCTTCTACTTCAATTCAAGTAATCATTTCAAAGTTTCTGGTGCAAATTCGCATTTGGGGAATTTATCGTGTTTTTATCAGTTTCGCTACGATTTGCTCTAAAGCTTGGAATTCTCTGGTTTTCTTTGCTTCTTCGCACTGTATTTTTCTTACAACACTTACCAAGGCAAGTCTCCGCCTTGTAGGTTGGTGATTCTTTCTTGATTTACTATTTTCGATCATTTTCGCACGTTCACAATGTGGATACATTGGCTTTTTGATGTAAATTGATCCTTTAATTAATTTAATTGTTGATCTTGATGTTTAATGGATTCAATTGATGCTTAATTGTTTATTTGACATAATTTTCGTGTATAATTGCATGCCATAACATGTGGATGATTGGAGAAGTAATAAGTTGCTGAAAGTGCTTTTAAAATGCAGTTTTTTGCTTCTGTTACTATGTTAATCGATTAACCAGTTTTTTGCTTCAGTGAGTTAGATGTAACTAACTCCAAACCAAATGTCAAACCACCCTTAGCTACCTTCCCCTTGGGTTTTATCGATATTTTCCTTGTCCTTTGGGACTAAATAAAGTTCGGTGGCGACTCTGTTGTATCTTTGAGTGTGTGATTCACTCAGGTATAATCCTGCTAGCTTCACCTAGTTGTACTCATGGATCTGTGTGCGATCCAATAAGTACCGGAGGTATGCAACGGCAATATAGGTCGTGTCCACAAAAATTCAAGTGTCAACCAAATAAAGAAAATTTGTCTTCAAAGCATGAGTCATTTGTAAGGTCACCTGCTCGGGATCACCATCAGCCACATTTGTAGTAACGAACTCCTCATCATATATCTTCTTCAGGAACTCAAACCTAGCATGAGAACCCCTGGTCATATCCACCTCCTCAATCGTGTCCCCTGGATCAGCCCCCAGATGCTCCACCATCATCTCGACCGCCTCGTTTTTTGTCATCCTACCATGATGGAGGAATTTCCCCCTGGTCGGAAGATGCAACAAAGACGAGACATCGTCCAATGTGATAGACATATCACCATGCGAGAGATGAAAAAAGACATCTCAGAATGTCATCTCTTCACGAATGCATTAAGCATCCCGTGGTTGACCAGAATGTAACCGGTCATGCATAGGTCACGCAACCCAGAAGTGGTCAGAACCAACTGAAACCACTGGTCTTCTGGCTGATACAATGCTAAAATCTTCCTACTATGGTTAATAAACTTCTGGGGATCGTGCACCTAGGATTATCCAGAAATAATCAATGTCAGCAATTTAAATTAACGTTAAAAAAATAAATCAAAAATCAGACTAATGCTACCTCCCCGTCTCAGTGGATACAGAGGAAGTAGGGACATATCAGATGGACCTCCTTCGAATCCCTCTAGCTAGGCATCCTCAACAACCTCACCTTTTAGAGGTGGCACTGGATCAATAAGATCATCAGCGGATGGTGGCACTGGATCAGCAAGAGGTGGCACAAGTACATCCCGACGCCTGTAAGGGGATGGGAGAAGTGTCGCGTCAGCTGGTTCATCCGGTCTCCAACGAAAAGAAGAAGAAGAAGGTGGAGTGGCCTGAGATGAAGATGGAGTGGCATGAGATGTAGATGGAGTAGCCTGAGGTGTAGAATGAGCCCCAAGAGTAGACTGAGCCTCATAAGTCGATTCCTCTGCCAGAACAAATGTATTTGCACCCTCCAGAACCTGCTGGTTCTGTTCCCGCCGATCGGATGCATGCTGGAAAATCCGTCTAAGTCTCAGTCTGTCGACTCTATCAGCCATTATGTCTGCAAGGTAAAATTAAGCAGATAACACGTAAAAGAACAACACAAACAAGAAAAAAAAAATAGATTGAGAAAATTCTAGAGATATATCTACAGAAACATTTTGGAGATATGTCTCCGGAATTTTCTAAATATATAAAACGTTGAACATTCCGGAGATGTATCTCCAGAAATTTCTGAAATTCAAAGGTCGCGACAATGGCATCGTCTGCTACTTAGAATATGTGTAATACAACCATAATCATCCATTTGAACCAACAAACAATACATACACTTACTCTAAACTATGTTTCATGTGATTTCTAAACATTTTTACACCTAACAATTGATTCTAACTCGTTTACAACAAAACTTGAATATTTACCGAAAACTCGAAAAACATATCCAAAATTTATGATTTGGACGGTGTTGAATGATGAAATGGATGATGCTTGATGTTTACTTGAAATCTCCTATTGATGAAATTTGGTTTGTTGGAGTCGAAAAATTTTGGGAATGAGAGAGTGGAAGATTTTGTGAATGAAAAAGAAAAGTGAGAGAGAAGAGTTTGGAGCGTTAATATGCTCCAAAATATTCCAGAGATATATTCTGAAATATTTCAACATTCACTTTAGTTTTGGAGCGTCCGGAGAAATATCTCTAAAATATTTTAACATTCAATTGAGTTTTAGTGCATCTGAAGATATATCTCCGAAAACTAGAGGCATAATGAGAAATCCACATGGTGCCTAAAAAATGCATGGGGTGGAAAAAAATATCCTCCAAAGGTGTTTGTGAAGGCCCCCACAAAATGGTGATATGTTAATGGACATGCAGAATACTGATGGAATTTCACAGACGCAAAGATAAAGCTTCATCACATCAAAACAGAAAATAAAGTGCAGCTACAGAGTTATACCCAATTTTGGATTATCATTTTAGATTTAAATTTTCCATTTTAGATTTAAATTTTCCAATAACATTTCCTTTTGATGCTTCTGGAAGAGAGTTATGCAAGTACATCGCCGTAAATAAAAGCCCCTTTACTCTCCAAAAAAGTATGTAACATTTACATGAATTACATCATCACAACTGTTTCAGAAAAGATAGGGATCATGGAAAAGTAGCATTTGTTGTACATGATATGATCAAGCATATCTACATTCATTGATGGCAGATCTAGGACAAAAATCCTTATCTTGAAACTGATAGAACGCAGAGAACCGCAACGGGGATTTCATTCACTAGTTGATCTTCTCTTTGAATAGATTGTCTCTCGAGAGCCATTCTCGAGAGCCATTCACTGAAAAATACTCCAACAACAACGTAAGTGTTGAGAGAGAACTATCAGTTAAATTTACCAAGTTCCATTTTCTTCTTGATAGCCTTTTGACCATGATAGATAAATGAATCTAGTATTCCAGAAACAGTGAAAACACCTGCATTACAGCTAGCATGGTTATGCCATGATTCATGCAAATCAAATTATACAAGTCCTTTAAGCTTATGCAAGCCAATTATGTAAGATTGAAGACGAATAGGGGATATATACCTCCCACTATGGCGCACACATTAGTAAGAAAATGTAAAAATGATACGTGTTGTTCTGTAAAAGTAACCTGCAAAATGCAATTCCACTATATAATCAAGATCAAAGCATGAAGAGAAACTGAATTGAAAAACAAAACTTGAAAGAAAACAGGAAAGAAAAGTCTAGTTGCAGTAATTGATTTTGATATTGCATATCTGTCCAAACAGCAGTGATAATTTTGAAAAACAAAAAACCACCTTAATTGGGGAAAGGTCGTAGAAGAAAAAAACTCCAGGGAGGGACTGCAGATGGCCTACATCTCCTGTCCTGAAGTGTTCTGTCACAGAGAACTGCAAAAACAATTTCACTTTTAATAATGTTGTAATTGTAAAAAGAATACAAGAGAAAGGTTAAAAAGTGACATCTATAAGATCAATTACCTGGTTTGACTGGATAGTGTTCCCATTGACATCAGTGTACATAGTTGGCACAACCTGAAAAAAAACATGAAATAAGTGGCAAAATTAGAATATAATAGTTTTTGTTGGTGTGCAATATTACCATATTGCACAGGAAAATGCCAATTCTAAAGGCTCACAATCTACAGACAACAAAATTAGCCGGGAAAAACTGTGAATTGAACAGCAAGTATAACATCTTCCTGATGCAGCGAAATAGTCAAAGGCAAAAGGTGGCGTATCGAACCTAAGGTTTTGTAATGCTTTGAGAGATGTCCTAAAAGGTGTTTGGCTTACTGAAGATGAGAACTATTAATAAAACCTAATAGGTATTATAAAATTCATGATATCCTCATTGTTGCTATTAGTAGTGTGAAAGTATAAAGAAAATATTATATTTTATCACAGGATATTCCTTTGGAAAAAAATCAATAATCCAGTTGTAATAATTATAAAGAATAAAAGCTGTTAAAAACACAGCTTGGGACACAGCAAAAAAAGGATATAGAACATAATTAGACAGGATATAAAACAAGTAAAGCAATTAAAGTGTTGTTGCTCAATGGTAAACAAACCAATAGGGCCTTTATCATGATATAAAACAAAGCAAGCAGCAAGTAAACAGATAACTTAAACCGGGCGTATCCATAGTCAAGTTTACAGGAGCCAGAGCCACTCCAAAATTGTTTAATAAGAGCAGACAAATATAGCTAACATCCTACAACATGTGGTTGGAAATTAACAAAAGAAAAAAAAAACAGGAAAAGCAAATAAATCACACTGAAGGAGTGGTGATACTTGGACGCCATAGGAGCAAAACAGTGCATGATTGCAAGTGGAGGAGGCATAATAATACCAATGCCTTTAAGTAGTCACATGAAGTGTAAAATCATAAAAAAAGTCAAAGAACAATTGAAAAATGACAATTGAATCTGTTTTCTTTGATGGTGGTAGAAGTTGCTTTGGTGGTGACTGTTATTTCTCGCCAGTCACACCACCATCTTAAAGAATTTCAGTTGCTGTATTTTCGACAAAAGCTGACAGTTGCTATGGACTGGCAGTCCTTGAAACTCACTGCCCATTAGTACTGCAGTTACATTTGAGGAAAAAGCACTGCTAATGCTATGCCATTAGAATAAAGAATAAAGGATAATTACAGTAGTTAAGACTTATTGTTAGAGTGGTTGTTTAAGTTATGTTGTTATTTTGGTTATTCTTGGCATGTCTTTAAATAGCCATGGTAGTCAAAATTGCAATCTAACTCGTGAGGTTGTGCAATTCTGCGATCTTGATAGGGCTGTCCAAGTTCGCGTATGGGAAGGATTGCAAATTGGTCGGAGCGATTGGGATCGCCGTGCAAAGTCGTAAAAATGGTAGAATCATGTGAACCACCATCTCTTTTCATGTTGTGCGGAGTTGTGGTTCATGGGTCGGGATTGTTACTTGTTTCCTTTAAAACAAGGATGACATAAAAAAAAACCTTAAATTAACACATTTGAAACACATGGAGACGATGACGCTTAGTTTCTTAAGCACACTATAACATCGGATTATAATTAGATTGCCGCTTAGCTAATGCAATTAAATAAGCTCACATTTAATAATAATAATAATAATAATAATAATAATAATAATAATAATAATAATAATAATAATAATAATAATAATAATAATAATAATAATAATAATAATAATAATAATAATAATAATAATAATAATAATAATAATAATAATAATAATAATAATAATAATAATAATAATAATAATAATAATAATAATAATAATAATAATAATAATAATAATAATAATAATAATAATAATAATAATAATAATAATAATAATAATAATAATAATAATAATAATAATAATAATAATAATAATAATAATAATAATAATAATAATAATAATAATAATAATAATAATAATAATAATAATAATAATAATAATAATAATAATAATAATAATAATAATAATAATAATAATAATAATAATAATAATAATAATAATAATAATAATAATAATAATAATAATAATAATAATAATAATAATAATAATAATAATAATAATAATAATAATAATAATAATAATAATAATAATAATAATAATAATAATAATAATAATAATAATAATAATAATAATAAAAATAAAAAAGAAGAAAATACATTATGTCATATTATTTTTTTAATTAATAACTAGACATTGTTTAATATTGAGTAACTGTTGTGGTCTTTTGAAGAGTTTTTCCACAAATTTTATTTTAGTAAGTATACAAATTATTTTTTATGAATATATATGTCAATTTTTAAATTTGGTAGGATCTTACCATTTGTGTTACGATTAACCGATTTATGATCTAACAACTCCTTTTCGATATTACGTAAGATCTCGATTCTAACAACATTGTAAATAGCCCTCAATTAGTAGAGTGGAGGGGTAGATTAAATTAATTGGGTTTTATGACTGGTTAATCCTTACGTAAGATCTCGATTCTAACAACATTGTAAATAGCCCTCAATTAGTAGAGTGGAGGGGTAGATTAAATTAATTGGGTTTTATGACTGGTTAATCCAGTGTGAAAGGGGAGTGCTCATTTGAGAATCTTCTGTACTTTTATAATTTTACTATTTCATAAAATAGAGACTTCAGGTTTCTTTTTTGCAATCTTCATGTGGTTGGGCCTAACACAACCCTACAAAACCGGTTGGTAGATTGAGGATTGCTGCCACTTATAAACACATGTTTACGCCATATATTGTCCGATGTGGGACTCTTAACACACCCCCTCACGCCCAGGACTGGACATCTGCGTGTAAATAAATGGTGGGTGGCCTGATAGCAGGTGGCCCACCGGAACTTAAACAAGGCTCTTGATACCATGTTAAGAAATGTGATTAAGCCTAACTCAACCCTACAAAACCGGTTGGTAGAGTGAGGATTACTCCCACTTATAAACACATGTTCAGGTCATATATTATCCAATGTGAGACTCTTAACACTTTTGATTACTCGATTTTATCCAGTTTTGAGAACTTTTTTGAACAGGATCCTAACAATTGCTCTGACCTGCTGGAATTGAAAGCAAAGAACAAGCCTAGGGTGGGTGGATGAGAAAGACTCTGAACAAGAAATCAATCTCGGAAGGTGGTGGAGATCATGGTCTGATTGTGGAAGGAATTGTAGAAGCCAAGACAGCAAAGGATCAAGGGATGGATAAACAGAATAATGGATTCTTGAGAGCAAGAAGACATATGTAAAAATGACATTTTGGAGATCAAGTATCATTGGTTGATGGCAAAACAATGTATGGGCACTGGGCAGCGATCAAATTCTTGGTGAAATGAAACAGTGACAAGATGGTTGATCAATGATTTGTCATTTTCAAAGTCATTGTGACTAGTATAGTTGTAAGTGGTAGAAAACTTGAGGTAGGGTTCCGGCTACCTCATTTATACCTGTAGAAGACATGAAGAAAAGGTTACTTGAAATAAGTTGAATTGACTAATATACCCTTAAAAACTGAAACATAACGGTCACATTTGCAAACCCTAATTGTTGGCGCGAACAGGGTGTGATTTCCACAAGGTATGTGGCCACAATAGCCGCATCTGTTGAATATGCATCGCCGGCCAAACGCGTTGCAGTAGACACGATTGATAACATAGATTCCAACCAAAGAATAAATGTTACATTTTTGTTCGATGTGGGCCGCAATCAGTTACTGTCCACTTCAAAGATGGTTCTTATTTTCAACAACTATTAAACCCGAAGAACTTTTTAGTAGAATGCAACCTTGAGGACACGGTTGTTTTTGAGGGGGAAGGGTGTGTTGTTCGGACATTGAATAAAAAATAATTAGAGTGGTTAAGAGTTGTTAATAAGTTGATTAGGTGGTGATTGAGTTCTGTGTTCTTTTGGTTACTCGTAGGAAGCATTTAAATAGCCCATAATTAGTCGTGCACAAATGCTAGTTAAGAGACAAACTATTTAGCAAAATAAAAAATTCATGAATTGGCCTCACAAGTGCAATCCATTATTCTCTGCAATTGGATGATGGCAACTATTGGTTATTAGAGGAAAGGTGTGTTTATTACTTTATTATATGTACCCAAATTATAGGTATATGCACCATACACACAAAGGGTATAAATAGAAACACACTCCTGAGATTGATCTCATCACCTTCCCTTTCCTTGCGGCAGCACCCTTTCTTCCCCTCCCTGTCCCTCAGCCTTCCATACCCTTCCCTCCCCTCCCACTCTGCTCTGATGTACTTCCAATGTACGGGAAGTCCGCCTCAAAGCCTTACAAATGATTGGTGTTTCCAAGGTCGAGCAAGTCCACCTCAAAGCCTATTCTATGTGTTTTTGTAAGGTAACTGATTACCTCTTTGGGTTGGATAACTCAGGAAACTCACCAACACCATCACAAATCATGACCCCAGTGTTGGTGCGGGGCAATGAGGGAGTAGAGAAGAGAAAAATGATCATACCAAAAATTAAAAAAAATTAAAAAATTCAATCTGATGATCACTAATCTCATTGTGTACTCGTCTATCTTTTACAAGGACTGTTTATGGATTGATTCACGGGGGAAACTGAACCGAACTGTCACAATAGTTTAGAAAAAACGAACTGAACTGTTAATAGTTTATTCCAAACCAAACCGGCCTGTCATAACAGTTTAGTGAACCAGTTCAGTATATTCGAATCGAACCAACACCAGTCCAAGTATTCAAATCATTTCCAGTTCAAATGTAAGACGGAAAATTTTCAATTAAATATTTCGCATAATACTCTTCTTTCAAGAATAATCATCATCATCGTAACAAGTTTATTTTATGAGATCACATTGTATGTATATGTTGAAAATGTTTCATCAATAATATACCTCGTCAAGTGTCAACCCAAATATACTACAATATATCACTGGATCAAAATTCATTTCCACAATTGTAATTTTGTCTTTTTATTCAAATAGCTCGTGAATTCAAAATCAAAACCATAGACCAAGACTAACAGTAGAAATAACAAAGTTACAGTTTACAGCAACTTTTTTTATGAATTGGACTGGAAATAAAGATAGACAAACATTAACCATCAAGTAAATTAAACCTTGAGTAACCCATATATATTAAAATTTGAAAATTACCTCTGCAGAATAAAACTAGTATGCAATACACACAGGTCTAGAAATTTAGAATACTAACCTTAATAAAATACTGGTACATCCCACTTGGTGTTTCTTGCTTCCAATGCACACTGATAATCAAGTAAGTGTTGGAATGTATCTTGAATAAAATAGTCAAGGTTGATAAATAGTTAATTTGATTAGCAACTATTAGAACATAAAGAGCTCACCCGTCAAGAGGGTTTACAACACCGGGAAAATAGTCTCCAAAGGCTATTCTGTTGATGTGGTGAGTTAACTGTATTAGATGGTATAGACAAGTTAGAGTCTTGAAATATGATGAGTGATGCAAGATATTTTATTGGCAAAACCAACTATTTTCATTGTTTTTATATTTCACGTACCCTAGCTAAAATAGAAACAAACATAATGATAAATGAAACTGATGGAAATGTAGTAATTAATGACAAACTAGGGATTAATCCTTAATACAAAATGAATAAAACAGCAAAGTAAATAACAATGGATGAAGATGAATCTCTTTGTAAAAAGAAGACAGTAAATGATACTCTCTCCAGTGTGAAAGCACCCTCTAAAATGGGAATCACCAAATACACATCCTGTTAAGAGTCCCACATCGGACAATATATAGCATGAACATGTGTTTATAAGTGGGGTAATCCTCACTCTACCAACCGGTTTTGTAGGGTTGAGTTAGACCCAACCACATTTCTTAACACATCCAAAGCACCCTCTAAGATGGAGAATCACCTAAGACACATCCTCTCAATTCCAACTTCATGCTCACTATACCTCTCACACTCCCACCTCAATTCCTTTGAAATCACCTCGCCTCTTTTCCTGCTTTTCAACCTGAAAGCTCCGCATCTCTGTTTTGTTATAATTTCTCCTCTGCCTTCTCATTCTATACTCACTACATTTCTGGCATTCTTATCAATACCACCTCCAATGAAATTCAACTTATCCTCAAGGTGAAAGAAATGCACAGCAGAAAAATGAATTCCCCGGGGTCCCATAACTTGAAGGATGATGACCAAGCTAGGCATGAACAGAAGAAATTTCCCCAGGGTCAAAATGCTCTGTTTTGGGATGTATTTTTTGCCAAAAAAAACACGTCCTCCTTGCTGCTGCAGTAATAAGCCTTGTATCTACAAACAACCACATTTTCTTTTCCTCACATTGGCCTGACCCATTAATGCTAGACCTTCTTGTTTTTGGAGTGCTTCCCCTCCACCTGTAGAATTCCGTTGGGTAAAACGTTGCAGACTCATTCCACATTTCACAAAGACTCGACTCTTCTCATTATTGGATTGGGTTGACTCATTTTCTTGGGGGAGCGGTTGCCCGGGTACCCTTCTCATTTTGCCCCAATTACTTTTCTTCCTCTTTCTCTGTTTACCCTAGTCATCGGCTCGTGCACCCAATCTGCTAACCTTCTTTTGTCATTAGCACTGCACTTTGGTCCAGCAGCTTTTATATATGTTGGCCGACAAATCAGTTTGTGCCCAACCGACATGTACCTCACAACTCGAGTCGAAACTGCAACTCTGTCTGGTGGCTCTACTGGAGGTATTTGAACCGGAACTTCAGAGACCCAAAGCTCTGTCGCTGTTGAAGACCCATCCCACTCCCTCAGTGACCTCAAATTAAATGCTTCTGGAGAGGTTTGTTGGTTGAACAATGTGTGAGATCCAAACCTGCACGATTGACACCTCTTTTCCTTCTTGCTTGTCCACAATGCATCCCATGAGGACTCCTCTGTTTATATTGTCATTAGAGTAACGTCAGATTTTGTTACCAATGACAATAGCTTCATCGTCACATGCTCTTCCTTCTCCAAAGTGGACGAGCTTGGATCTGATTCTAGTTATGATCATCACATTTCCTCACATCCACATTCGAGCTGGTATCCAACAATTCTGGTGGCAGCAGTGGGTCTTCCATCTGCGGCGAGTCTTGAACTCCCTAGCCTCTATGGATCTTATTTACTTTAGTTGCTTGCAACATTAGTTCTTTGTTCTGCAGCTCGTCTACTTTTCAAAGTCAGATTTTGCTACCACCTTGCTGCCTTCTTCCTTGCTCCTCTCCTTTTCATCTCTGCCAGTGTTTTCTCGATTCTACAGTATCGTTTTCCTTTCTCTGCTATGCCTTCTCCATACTTCTTATCAAAGCTTCCATGTGTCTCTGTCCTATACTACCATCTCCCTCATCTCTTCCAATCTTCTCATCATAGCTCCATTCTTTTAATAATACCAGTAGCTCCAAGGATCTAAGCTTTGATACCAGTTTAACGGAAACAAATAATATGATAAATTGAAACTGTGGGAAATGGAATTAATCAAAAACTCAGAAGATGAATCCTCTATATATTATATGGATAAATAGTAAAGTAAAAGGAAATGGATGGAGACGAATCTCCTCGCAAAAGGAAGAAAGTATATGATACTGTCAAAGTAAGAGCACCCCTTCTAAGATGGGAATCACCCAAATACTCAGCCCCTGAATTGAATTCTCACCTTCACACTCATCATAATTCAAACCCCTCAAGTCCCACCCCCCCTCCCCCTCTTCCAAATCCTTTATAACCAACCACCTCACCTCCTTTCTTACCCTCCAACCCTATTCACTTTACTCACTGCACTTTGGCACGTGGACATCAAGCTATAAAATATATAATTGCAATAAAAAGTCACCAGTGTGAATAAAAATCATATCATGTCTTACATTAAATGACTCCTTTTGAAAAGCCAATACGTCATGTATATGTACGCCAGATTGCTGAAAGCTTTTTCCAGGAGCAAAATGGAAATTCCCTGCCACCTTGTTTACTTCCAAAAAGCCATACATATTGCATCCTTCACCTTCTTCTTCCTTGATTCTTTCTAAGAATCCTTCTCTTTTGCACTAAGTGATGCCATACACACCAGACACATAATGGGCATATCAGATTAATAATTTGACTTGGGCAGCAGAATAGATAGGGGAAAAAAAGCTTCATGCATGACCAATTATATTTAACAATAAATTAGGAGACATATGCGTGCATATATAAATTTAAGGTGAAGTGACAAAAAAATCACCATCCTTTGAAACATAGTTAACAAGCAATGTGAACAAGCTGGAAGATTAACTCTTTACAAAAGGACAAACCACAATTGGTTGGTTATTCACCAACAAATAATGCTGCATTACAAAATAATGATTGTTTACGGACAACGGTTCATCTGACATTTAATAATAAAAATGTTACTATATAGGAAACAAGATTTATCAGGAAAATTACTTTCTTTTACAGCGAAAACATAGTAAAACAAACTCATACACTGACCATATTTTCTGCATTGCAGGTGGCAGAAAAACTATTTCAATTGAAATTTAAGATTAGTAAATTATGCACGATGTGATCAAATGGATCTCAAATATAGTTATATATTTTGAACATAAATAATTTGTTATGTAATGAATCAGGGAGTCTGACTGATAGGGACTTGGGTATTACGGGGAGTCCAAGTCCCACATCGAGTAGTATGAGATGTTGGGTGGAGTATTAAGTGGTTTGCTTCTTCTCCCTTAATTGCCGGCTGTGAAACCCCGATATGCTAAAATTGCTAAATTATCGGTGTCTGACATGTATCCGACACCGATACGTGTCCGATATTCCCCAATACGTACCGGAGAAGTATCAAGCAATTTTTTTAATTGTCTAATACATTTAAGATACGTGCATGATATGCATAAGATACGGCGGAAAGGAACTAATAGGTGCAGGATACGACAGAACAGTAACATACACAAATTTTTTAACATTTTCTTTCCTATTTTTCTTGTTAAAAAAAAATAAGAAATGCATAAAAGGAATGAGAAGGTGTCAAGAAATAAAGAGTCAGAACAGAATAGAAAGCTTCATCATCTCTTTGTTGATGGGAATGGGAGAGAGGAGACAGACGCCATTAGATTTAACTGTGAAGTGTTAAATATTAGACAATGATGTTCTTTCTAAATATTATTAATATGTTCTTTTTGGGTAGTACTAATTATATTTTCGCTATAGTCTAATTGGTACAGAAAGGATGTAATTGTCACTTATTTTGATCATTTCTAGTAAGTGAATCTTTATTATTATTTTAGTCATGTTTCTACATTGTGCATTTATATATTTTTATTTTATTTTATGTTTTATATATTTTATTAAAGTATCTTGGCCATATTGTATCTTGAATTTCAAAATTGTCCTGTATCTCCGTATCAGTATCGTGTCAGGATCGTATCAGGTATCTAGGCTTCATAGATTGCTAGCTTTTAAGGGAGGGTTCTCCAAGTGCTTGGGGAATTATAAACTATCAACATCAAGATTAGGATAAATATGCACAATGTTATCAGGATCTCAAATATAGTTAAATATTTTGAATATAAATAATTGGTTATGTAATATAATCAGTGTTATCAAATTGCCCCGCCATGGCCACTATGGCGGTTTTTGGGCTCGCCGCAATAGTAAATATCGGCCGCTATTGCGGGTTTTTCCGCCATAATCCGCAATAACGGCGCCGCAAAGCGGCCGATATGGCAGGGTTTTGCCTCTCCGCCATGGACCGCCATCGACAACACTGAATATAATACAGGCAGTGAGTCTGAGAACTGCTGTAGAGACTTGGGTATTATAGGGAGTCCATGTCCCACATGGTGATATGGGATGTTGGGTGGAGTATTTACGTAGTTTGTTTTTTTCCCTTTGATTGCTAGCTTCTAAGGGAGGGTGGTTCTCCAAGAGTTTGGGTACGTATAAACTATGAACTTTGGAACTCTTTATGCATAGATTTTAAAAGTATGAAGAAGTTTCCTTCCACCCAAAGTATATTTCTCAAACATGTGCTTAGGAATACTATTAAGTTGAAAGGCAAAATGTTATATGGACAAACCTGGTCGATTACATCTGGATTTGAAAGTCCCCAACCTTTCTTTTGATATGCTTCACGAACTTCCTCACAGGAATTACAACATTGCTCATCTGACTGCAAGCACAAATATGTGATGCTAGGAAATAGGAATATTTCATGAATATAACAGCAATATCAATTAAGTTTTTCCCACTAGATGGAATCAGCTACATAGATTTGTTGGCGCCATAAAATCCTATCATGTATTAAACCAAAACTAGACTATTTGCCTCTAAATATAACGGGTTTGACCGTCAGTTTTATCCACATTTAGAATGCATGTGCATTTTTGGTTATATTCAAGTACAGTGTAGTATTATACTATTAGCTAGAAGAAAGAAAGTTGCAGGGACTTGATTACTAATCCAGCCTTGTTAAAAGCTGTTTATCAAGAACAAATAAGTTTTGATACATGTTTAGGAGAGGAAAGTATACCAGATTTCCTATTAGTTATTAGTTATGCAACAAAACAACAAACACAAACTTCACTCTCTTCTATCCAAAAATCAATACATAAACAAGGAATTAAAATATAAGTATATAACATCCTTATCCTTATAAAACACTACTTTAAACCAAGCTTACCATCTCAGCACCATAACAGGATCCACAATAAGTCTCATTGTGCTCAAGCCTGCCTCCATGTCTTTGCAAGGGCTTGTCAATCTGGGCAGAGAAACAAATATGATATAGTGAAACTACCCTACAAATAAGTATAAGCAAGGGAGATATAAAGAAATTATGGATAAAACCCAACTAGTATAATGTTAGGAAGGGCAAAACTTAACAGAATTGCATCTTAAAATGATGAGACATGCGACCATTCATAAAATTTCACTTCCAAAAGAGAATATATCTTGTCAATAATTTCAGCCAGTCAAGCTTGTGAAAACTTAATAAATGGTTTACAACAATGTGAGATATATAACTAAAAATGAAAATAAAGCAAATCTATTAACATTTAAAAATCAACTGACTGATATAAAAAAAATAGGAATTACATAATACATTTGTCATCAAAATAAAGACAGATAACCATAAAATTTACCGTGGGAGAACCAATTCCATCTTGCCTTGTTTCTATCACATTGCCATGAGAATCTATTCTTTTCTTGATTATATCATGTCTCTGAACCCGTGCATCAAAAGATAAAAGACAAATAACACATTACAAATTGTTCAGGTGAATATGCATTAGAACGTTTAAGTGTTCAAGCTGGAAATTGAAACAAAACAAAATTAAACCAGCAAGTTTTTCTAATGATACGTACTACATCCAGATGCTGCTCTCCACTTATGTCCATGGCATCGATACTAAGTACAGAACACGCTAGTGCGGGAAATGTAACATCAAACTGCACTTTCACCATAAAAACAACAAAAAATCAATTACTTCGCGAAACAACCAATCCAAGCCCCATTACATCACAAATTCAACATACATAAACAATTAACACACTGTAATATAAATTTCCAACAATGAAAAATTAAACTAAATATTACGTTGATACGCAGCGTTTCTCCTCTAGAAGTATCTACAACAAGCTTGGTTTCAGTCGCGGCATGAAGATACAACCCTAAAACAGTTAACAAAAAAAAAACGAAATAATGAGATTCAATTAACATTACGGAAACAACAAAGGAAAAAAAACGATAAAGGAAAATAAGAGTTACGAAGCTCGGAGAAGAAAAGCAAGAGCATGACAATGGAGGAAGCGAGAGTGATAACACCGCCTGAAAGCGTGCGAGAATAGAAATCTTCGTTGATTTTTGGATATGCATCGAGATTCCGAAGCTTATTCATTATGCTATCCATGATTGAACTTGAACCCCTAAATTGATGATTATTATTTTTGTAGATTCAGAATTCAGAAATGAAGATCCAAATCAAAGATCTAACATAATTTTGTTTATTATAATTTGTATTTGATTTGATGATAATTATCAATGATCAATTTTTTAGTGTTGTTGGGATTGAAAAAACACCCCGTTCAATCGAAACTGTTTTTCGCTCCGCTCGTCGAACTGTAACGGGGCGTTTCGCGTTGGGAATGGTTTCATCCAAATTGTTTTGTTTTTAAGTTTAATTTGACGAGAATTTTTTTTTTCTTTTTTTTTTTTTGCTTGTCTGGATTTCTTTACTGGAAAAGAAAATAAAATATCTTAAATCGAAATATCTATACAATAGAAAACATCAAACTCTAAATATAATATACAATAGTATCTCTTAATTTTCTTTTTTATGCCTTTTTGTAATTATTTTAAATTTTGTAATATATGATTTCTTGATCCATATTTCCCTAATTATATTATTTTCTTAACATGTACAAGATGTTCATTTACGATCATTAAATAATTCATTTTCTCGTATAAATATATTTGTAAAATTATAGGTGCGAGGGTAAAGTCTCACATACTTGATATGTGTGTTTCGATGATGTCAAAACTGAGCCGCATGGAAGAATAGTCATTTGACGTTATCACCACGATGCATAAGCATACCTTATTTCTCATGTTTGTTTGCTTGCACTAAAAATCTCGAGTACTGCATTTAAAGCTGTCAAAATATGCGTCATGTAACACCCTTCTAACCCCGCAGAATAAATATAAATAGATCAAAGTAATTATCATGCATTTCACAAAAGGGTGTCACATAACTTTTCAAAACATCACACAACACCTGTCATGCTCAATAATATAAAAATAACTTCCTGCTTTCATACACCTTCACATTAACATGTAGCAGCGGATTTGCTTTAATCATGATAGACATAATAAAAGTCTCATGCTCATCTCATTTTTTAATACTTAGGCTTAAAAGCCAGTTCTTCATATAACTCAAAATAACAACAACAGAATAAAGTAGAGAACATAAAATATCCTTCCAAATATGAAATCAAAATATTCCCCGGTGTTACATAATCAGAGCATGACTCGACCCAAAATAAATAAAGACACAACTCAAGCTACTCCAACGGCTACCTCGTGCTAGAAGCAACTCTACTCCTCAGTACCTGAGCGATGTCGATAAAACATCATTCCAACAGAAGGGTGAGAATTCACATAATTATTGAAATTATAAAATAATATATAATTTAAGGCATACAAACATAATCACTATTATTTTCACACTTCAAAAGTTTTATCAACACAATATTATTCAAGTAACCATACTATTCATAAGTATATACACACAACTCCATAATTCACCAATTTATCAGTTCCACATATCACACGTAATCTCATAGCACATAAATATACATAATGAGACTCAATGCAAAACTTTATGCAAGACTCAATGCAACTCATGTCATGTGGTACCAACACTCGTTATTATTTTTCGATTTTTACACTTAAACCGGGTCTGTTCCCTAGACCAATAACACACAAAAAGCCCATTCCCTAAGCTTTCAAACCCCGCTCTAGGTTTGGGACAAGTCACTAGCTCCCACGGAACTAACAAGCATTGCCTCTTGACACAAATGATACATATGCAAATTCAACAATCATATGCAATTAAGACCATTCCATAATCTTAATACATATCTTCAATAATTCACGATACTTGAATTACCACACATTTGCACATACACAAGTATCCACACAATCCAACCTGAATTCACAAAAACACACATCACCAATTAAATATAAAATATTTAATTCATTATCAATAAATAAATCCAATATTCATATGATAATTAAAAATAATTATCAATCATTAAATAAATTTTATATTATTAATATTATTAATAATTATACTAGTGAAACAAAATATATAATTAAATCAAATAAAATAATTATTAATAATTAAAATTCCATACTCAATAAGTGGTAAATATCCAATAAATAATTCAATATTCAATAAATCTTCAATATTTTAATAAATATTTCAATATTTAATAAGTATTTAATATTTTAAATAAATATTTACTATTTACTAAAGTTCTAATATTTAATAAAGTTTCATATTAATAAACCATTCAATAATTTAATAAGGTTTCAATTTCAACTAAAAACCTTTCACTACAGTATAGGAAGTGGATAAAAGTTCACATTCATTACCTACTTGTTTTGTGTTGCTACGGTAACGAAATACATGAATAATAGCTCACATTCATTTTTCGCTATAGGACAAGGGAATTGAAAGAAAAGGTTCACAATTTGAAAACAACATATAGAAGTTACAGGTAAACTTGTTGAAATTAAGTAATTAAAATGCAGTGAAATGCAAAGTTCAATTTTCAAAGCATCCATTTCAATTAGATAGTCTCCATTATAAAAGTAGAACCATAGAATCATGCTTTCTAAATTATAGCATTAGGAAATCAGTTCTGATTGAGATATATCTACTGTTCTCATTGACATTCCACCATCAATAAAATTTTATTCTATTAATTTCGCTACAGTGTAATATATAATATCTCATTCGTTTGGCTACAGTAGGCTGTGTATGTAAAACTCTCATCTCATTGCCTATCAATTATTGTATTGCTACGGTTACAGAAGTTAAAAGAATTTCAATTTATTTTCATTTTCTATTCCACTAATTCCTGCGCTACTATTTAACCAATACATATATATTCCAAATTGTTTTCACTACATTCCAGTAGTTATATCAATATTCCAAATTCTAATAGGTTAATACAAAATAGAATAGGTCTCTATAGTATACAAATATGCCAATTCCAAACACAATAAAATTAACACATTTTCAAGGATTATCCTCAAAACCTAACATTTTCAATTTCATGGAAATTTGGGGATTTTAATCTAAATATATTTCTACCCACTTATTATTATCAAATAATCTCACTAAATATGTAAAAACTCACCCTTACCTTGAATGAATTTGTTGAACTTTTGCTCTTTCTCTTGAGTTTCCTCCTCTTCTTCTCCACTCCTCTCTTTGCCTCTTTTCTCCTTTCTATCTTTTCTTTCTTTCTATTCTCTTTTATCTCATTCTCTTATTTTATATAATTCTCACAATTTTAATTAACCTAGTAATTCCAATGGGCTTAATAACTCATGTCTATTCACACCCCCAAATAGGCCCAATCAATTAATCTAACAATTCTATATTATTCTACAAATTAGAATATATCATATAAGTTAAATAATAAAATTAAATCAATTATTCGAATATGTCCAATAATTCAATTAATCCAAACAACTCAAATAAATCAAATAATTTATATAAATTCAATAAATCAACTAATTCAATTATATCAAATAAATCACATAAATTAGTTAATTCAATTAGGCCTAAAATTACATAATTAATCAATTAATTTAATTAATAAAATAATTACTAAAAATTGGGGTGTTACAACCCTCCCCCACTTAAAAGATTTTCGCCCTCGAAAATTACCTCAAACAAATAACTCGGGGTAAGACTCACGCATCTGATTCTCAAGCTCTGAAGTTGCGTTTCCACCAGCTGGTCCTCCCCAAGCGACCTTCACCAAAGCAATCTCTTTACCTCGAAGTTGCTTCAACTCCCGATCCTCTATCCGCATAGGTGATGTCTCCACAGTCAGATTATCTCTTACCTGCACATCATCTACTTGGACTACATGAGACGGATCCGCAATGTATTTCCTCAACTGAGATACATGGAACACGTCATGGAGATTAGCAAGCGACGACGGCAAAGCGACACGATAGGCTACCTCTCATATCCTCTGCAAAATCTGGTAAGGACTGTCGCTACTGCGAAAATCGGCGCCGGCTGAACAGAAGAGTCGCCACCGTGCGTTATTTATCCCACGGGAGGGAAAGGAAACGCTCAGAGTAAACCTCGCACAACACGGGAAAGGTATGGTCGTCGCAACCAAAACCTGGATTCGGGAGTCGGTTACGCAAGGGGAAGGTATTAGCACCCCTCACGTCCGTCGTACTCGACGGGATCCACGCTTGTTTTCTGGTATGGATTGTTATTCTATCTACTCTAAAGGTCAGGGGTTAAAAAAGAAAAGAGAATGAAAATAAAATGACTCGGCAAAGTATCGCACTTTATGCCTACGTATTCCTGTCTGGAACGAGAAATCAGAGTCAACGTAGTTCGCCTACCTACAGGAAAGGAGGGGAAGGTTGCTCGCTAGGATATCGCGTCCTATGCCTACGTACTTTCATACAGCATGAAGATCAGAGCAAACGTAGTTCGGGCCACGTACGACACAAGTCTGTCTTGGTTGATTTCATTCCTTCTGAAAAAGGTTTTTTTGATTACTGGTCCAAGCGGACAAAAATGAAGCCTTGATGAGTTCCCATTCTTTTACGAAAGAAGTGTCTTTTATTGCGTTTGAAATCTTTATGGTGTTTTTTTTTGTTTGTTTTGAGAAAGAAGAGACAGAACTCTAACCTACGGTTGCGAAGGGAATCAAACTACCCTAATGTTATCATGCATGGGTTAAGACCTAGTGTCTATCATGCTCCTCTCCTGCACAGAGAGAAACAGAGATCCTAAGGGAATAGACGGAAACAGCAACAATATCAGATATATACAGTAAAACAGTAAAATGCATGAATGCAACAGTACAAGCGAGGCAAGGGAGTCCCACTCGACCTCGAACCTGGAAAACAATAGGCAAAAGTGAACAGGCTTCACTTTCAACCCAGCAGGGTAAACAGCAAGCAATACAGTCATGAAAACCAGTCAATACATCAGAAATGAAATACAAGAATAAACAGCCACAGCAGCTCTGCATCAATATCCATCTTCAAGTCATCTCCAATCAACTCCAGGCTTCAACAAGCATCAGTCTCTATCTTCATGGCCTTCAGGCAAGGGCTTTGATCATCAATCTTCTATCTGTA